AAAGGTCTTTTCCAACCTAAACCATTCTATGATTCCATGATGAAGTTTTCTGCCAAAAACATGTACCTGCCAGAGAGAAAATATCCATGGATTTTTTCAAATGTATTTCATATAAGTTATACGTTAATTCCTTTGTATTTTGTAGTTGTGTTTTACATGCAACTTGGAGGAAGAGAGATTTTTATAAGTATTCTGGAAAAACATACCATCAGACAAGCCTTCTTGCAGTGTTGTCGACTAAATACCAGGCTATGCTGTCGTGAATGTGGAGAGAAGAATATAAATGGAAGAACTCGAGAGATTTGATGCATACACATTTCTATCTAGAAAAAGAAGAGACAGCTCTGGCCAACACTGCTTTATCCAGCTGAGGGTTTTTTGAAACTTTTTTTTCTGGAAGAACCCAAGGCTGAAATATTAACATAACATTTCAATTGTTATCCTTCTAATAATATATATACATCATGGCTATCATCAAGGCACTGCTTTTGTATTAGCGCAGATTGAACAAGTCAGTTCAGAATGTGATTAATTCAAAGGCATTTATGAGGCACTGGGTCCCACAAAGTTCAGTGAAATGAATGCTCTTTGCGGGCCATGCAAAGCAGAGAAAGAGCTACTGAAAGCAGCAGCCATTGCTGTCTGCCTGTAAGTTGCAGCTTTGTATTTTTATTTATCCTTAAAATGTGCATATGGCTTTCTTTCCTTTTTTCCTTTAAGAAGGTAGAATGTTTTTTTAGCAGTTTAACAACAGTTTTGTCTGAGGGACTTCCTCTATAGGTAACCACAGTGGCTAGGGTCAGCTTCTAGCTTGACCGAGACTGTTCCTTGATGTGCCCTTTGGTGCCTTATGAGAAAGGATGCTGAGGAGCCATGTATGATGTGTTGTGTTGGTTTTTTTTTTTTTAAATCTTTTGACTGAAAACAGATTTTCTAGAGCAGACTGTGTAGTGTCGTCTTTTTTCCCTCCTTTTTTTTTTTTTCCCTCCCCCCGACTCCTGTTGAGCTAGTTGGTTGTGAGTTTAGGGGAGAATATTTGAGGGTGGAGGGAAACAGGAGGTTTCTTGTGACTGTCAAGCCATTACAGTTTTGGCGGTATTTTAGTGGAACAAAAACCACACAAGATGTAAATAATAAAAAATAAATTTGTTTTAAAAAATCCAACAGATCTGGAATCGCTTGCCACACTTGAAAGCTGTTGTGCTATATAAGGACTCCATTCCAGAGAGACACCCAAATTTGTATACGGTATGTGAATGCTAGAACAGACTTATAATTCATGCGGTATTATTTATTTGATGAATTTCTACTCTGTTTAATCTGTGGAATGTCTGCCATTTAGAATGCATTGCTGTGTTACAGCAAACACATTTAAAAGCTTCATCAGCTTTTTCTGTTTAATTTACCTGTAACTTCATGTTTGGTACTTGATATTTAAAATTAGAGCTACCTTGCTTAACTGTCTGTCTTGTGTCTTCCTGGCTTTTTATTTGACTGATTAACAAAACACCTATAGGCTTCAGGTGGGAATGAGTACTTGCAAACCATTAAAAATAGAAGTTGTCTACTGGTGTTAGTGAAAACTGAATTGTGGTTAGTTTCGCTGGATCTAAGAACATGAAAATGCTTGTAATTTTACGGATGATAGTTGCATTTTGTTTGCACCAGATATTTCTGGTGATAGGCAACAAGTGAAGAGAAGTAACTACGGACTACACAGAGGAGCACATTTTCTCAGTATATGTAGAATCTTTGTACCACATGGTAAAAATAAAGCAGAAAAAGGGACAAAGCCAGGATCAGAGATTTCTGAGTGAAAGAAGTCCAGCCTTTAATTTAAGAAATATGAGGACTTTAAGCAGAACAGATTTTTGCAAACATGTTATTTCAATATATTTTGAAAATATAATTGAAAATAGTTAGGTAGTAAGAATACAAAAATCGGCATTTTAAGTGGACTACAGATTATCAGATTCTGATTTAATGAAGAGTGAACAGTGTAGAAATATTTTAAAATATTTGCAGTTTTGATAATCTGAGGGGTTACTAGGTACAAAAAAAAAATCTGCACTTCTTTTAATCATACCTTCTTTTGCTATGTTGAATAGCATATAACTTAATAATAAACAGTTGCTGTTATAATACTGTACATACTGGTATAGAGTATGCCTTGCATCTCAGGACAATAAAAAAATTAATACAAAGATGATCTTACTATTTACATTTCTTAATAAAAGGAATAAGTGCTGGCAAATAATTCTGGAACAACGTTCAGTTGCTGAAACCTAAATGCCTGAGAACTGATGTATTTGAAAACACCTCTGTTCAGGTGTCATGTTGGACACATTTTCTCAATGGAGAAGGGTAGCTGTGGGAGTGTCTGACAGTTGCCATAGTTTATGTCATCTAAAGGAAAAATCAGAGATCACCAAAGGCAGAAATGATTGTTTATTAGGCTTGACATAAAGCAAACTGCCTGAACCACATGGCATTTTATAGAAGGGATTTGTGTTGCAGGTTGACAGCTAATATGTAACAAGCAATTGCTGCAGCAAGGGCAGAGCCCTAATTCACTGACCAGTGCATGTTTCCAGAAGGCAAATGCAAAGTCAGTAGTGTGTGTGGCTGGTTGTACCTTTCACGCTGTGGAATAGGAACACTGTCTGTTGCAGGTACTGTTCAGTAAACAAAGCCTAGGCAACAGACTTACAGTGAGTAGCGCATTCTAGTATGAGAAGACAGCAAGGTCAGGAAAACAGGAACAACTGCTAAGTCACATAGAAACAATTACATCCTTGACACCTCCAGACTTTCCAGGAGCTAGGGAGATTGATGCAGCTGCATTCCGTAGGAAGGGATAGGATGTGAGAAATCCTCTACTTGCTACAGAGCCGTGCGTTGTACTGCCTCTCTTTTCAGAGATGTGGTTTGTTCAAAGAAAGTATAAAACTGATGATTGGCAATTAGAAGAAGAATGCTTAGGACAGCCTTGCCACCCAAGAAAAGGAAGTCTGGTTGCCACAGAGGCTAACTATTGTAACCTTAGTAGCACACTGGCAATGACAGAGGTCTGAAGGAAACAGTGAACTCCCCCCTCAAGCACAGACTCTCATTTATCTCTGCTGTCTTTTGCATCATCCCCTTTATTGCTATGTGGTCCTGGATATATTTCCAAGAAGTCATTGAAGAATGGAGGTGCTGCATCTTGCATTTAAATAACACAGTTCTGTAGCACAGTATGAATCATCTGATTCTAATAGGAATCTGGCAGTTTGGTTATTGACTTTCTTAAAAAAATTTGTTATACCCTAGTTTTCAGTTAGCATTGAAATCAATGGTACACTTAGCAGCATATCGGGTGCATGCAATGGAAGTATCTGGGAGCAACCAATATAACATAGAGGATCAGGTTCAGCATTCTTCTGGGCCAATTTGTGTGGCACAAAAGTCCAGCATCATAAAAGATTTATCTCATTCTAGATTGAGCCAGATTTGAATGGAAGTTGTGAACAGCATCATATGCTCCGTTTGCTGTAAAATAGCAGATAATTTCAGCAAACACTCACACATCTAGATGATGATGCTTTTGCAAAGAAGCTTTCATCCAATTGCTTTATATTTATATTTGTATTTATACAGAGGAGAAGGAATTATAGATGGAATGTCACAAGCATACTCTTACTTAAAAACAGTACATCCAGATTCCTTTAAACAAGACTCAAAATCATTCTAACAGTGTGAAGTAGTAACAGAATTTTAGCCTCTGTGACTTGTCCATAGTATCCATCTTGGAGGAGGAATAGTATTACCATTCCCTTCTTAGACACTGAAAAGACTCATGGCAGCACAATTTTAGATAGTCTATTTGAAATTTGCATGAAGTTCTAAGCTAGTCTTAGTCATACTTCTTATATAGGCAAGACCTCGTGAAACTTGCCTTGGAAACATGTTCAGAGCAAGGCACTGAAGTTTTCTGCCATTTTTGAGACTGATAAGATACCGCATCTTTTCCCACTTGTAAGAAGCCATTTGATATCCTGTATTTTCTGTTACATATTCTAGATGGAAGAGTTTCTGGAGTTGGGAGATGACGTATCTGATACTACTTTGGATGATATTATTAACTCCCAAAAGCCGAATCAATGCTGTGTACTGATATACACATCTGGAACAACTGGGAAGCCAAAAGGAGCCATGCTGAGTCATGATAATGTATGTACTTTAGGCTCTTCCTTTAGCATAAAAATAGCAAAGTATGAGGATATTTATTCCTGTGTTTTGAAATGACTGGTACATACTAGAGCCTTGGAATCCTTTTGCTTTTGCAACATGGATATTGTACTACAAAGCAATGCTCAAAATGCAGATGGCTGTTTCTGGTAAAGTATAAGCGTGGTAAAGAAAGAAACTCCATTCAAACTAGCACTTTGCAAGGTTGAACAGTTTGTTATGAATATCAAATTTTTTATTCACTGGTTTTCTTGTGAGATGCGCATATTTTCATAAATATAATTCACAGATTGCCATAAAGTCTCTCAGGTGATGTCACAGGTCATCTTAAAACAAACAAATCATATAAATCAGCCAGCCACTATCAAAACAGCCTGATAGACTGCTTTTGCAAATTTTATTAAAATGAGGGTAGATGTGTGTTTTGTGGGTGTGTGTGGTTTTGTTTTGGGTTGGTTTTGGTTTGGTGGTTTTTTTTTTTTTTTTTACTTTGGCATTATTATATTCCTAGACTTGGGTTTCTACATCTGCCAGTAGAGGATAATACAACTCTAGTGCGTAGTCCTGGTACTTAAAATAGCCCTGCCTGCATTGTTGCAACCTAAAAATTTTTCAGTGATAGAGAAAAGCGAAGTCATTTGCGAAAAGGACTTTCCTTAGAGGTCTGCTAGCTAAGACCTGGACTGTAGCTGGTTTGGTTTTTTATATATTTATTTTTTTTTAAGGTGGCTGAGCAGGAGTGGAAAGTAGTGGGGAGTTGTTGTGGTTTAGCCCCAGCCAGCAACTAAGCACCACACAGCTGCTCGCTCACTCCCCCTACCTCGATGGGATAGGGGAGAGAATTGGAGGAGTAAGAGTGAGAAACACTCCTGGGTTGAGATAAGAACAGTTTAATAGTTGAAATAAAGTAAAATAGTAATAATAACAATATAATAATAATATACAAAGCAAGTGATGCACAATGCAATTGCTCACGACCTGCCAACCAATACCAAGACGGTTCCCGAGCAGCGATCGCTGCTCCCTGGCCAACCCCCCCAGTTTCTATACTGAGCATGACGTCATATGGTATGGAATAGCCCTTTGGTCAGTTTGGATCAACTGTTCTGGTTGTGCCCCCTCCGAGTTTCTTGTGCACCTGGCAGAGCATGGGAAGCTGAAAAGTCCTAGACTAGCAGAAGCAGTACTTAGTAACAACTAAACCATCAGTGTGTTATCAGCATTCTTCTCATACTAAATCCAAAACACAGCACTATGCCTGCTACTAGGAAGAAAATTAACTCTATCCCAGCCGAAACCTGGACAGGAATCTTTCTGAACACATAGACAATCTGTGAAAGGGCTGGTCTAAGTTGTGGCCTCTCTTCTTAACATAATGTAGAAACTATTGCAGATGTGCACACTGTGAGGAGCAATTCACTCAAATGTAGGGAATCAGTACAGTAGTATCTGGAAGCAGAACACAGGGGACTTGGTAGACAAAAAGAGTGATCTGACATTGCAAATCCTATGCTCTTCCATCTCAAAGGAGTCTGGTGTCATTTTCATGTTAGCTGCCAAACTATTCCTGGCTGTTGATCACAAACAGGCTATTTTTATGTTGACGAAAGGTGGAAAACATGCCTTGCCTGTAACTGTGCTGCTGCCTTCTTTAGTCAAAAGATGTTTGCCACTGTCCGTGTGCAAAACCAATGCTGAGTCAGTCATGAACTGCATCTTCTGAGATAAAGTGGGAATTAGGAAGAAGGGGGAAACCATCATACAGTTTCACTGAGAAGTCAAGCAGCACATCTTCAGAAATACTCATGCATGCAGTGCCGCTCATGGCGGGGTGTGTGTGGGAGTGTCACTTGTGAACCACTGTGGTAAATATCCTGGAGGCTTCCAGAGGAGCAGAGTACAGCTGCTATCTTCCTTATTAGTGCTTAGTCAGATGATGATCAATACAAGACAATGAGCTCGTTGCTGATACTAAACTGTCCTGCGAGCTCACTGATCACTGAGTATTCATTGTTCTTTTTCAGGTAAACATATAGACATAGCACTGGTGAAAAGTGCCCTCTTCATAGAAAGTATGCACAGTAGGAGAGTTGCAAAAGAAAGGGCAGATGAATTTATTCTGTGTCCCTCCAGCTCATGGCTGCCCTGCTCAGTGTGTCACTAGGGCATGGGCAGTTGGTAGTGTTCATAGCCCAGTCAGGCAGCAGAAAGACTGCATTTACTTATGTTGCTAAGTTCATCTTGCTTTTGACTGGGTGTCCCCCAGAGAATTGACAGTCTGGTGTATTGTCAAAGATTGCAATGTCTTCAGGAATTTCTGTGAGCACAGATTCTTCATAGTTACGTTAGCATAGCATAAGGTTCCTTAGTTTGCATTAAAAGGAAAAAAGGAAAAAAAACCGCCACCATACCTAATGTGTTTTATTATCCATTTAAACAGATAACTTGGACATCAGCACATTGCAGCAGAGCAGGAGATATGCAACCTGCAGAGGTCCAACAGGAGTCTATAGTCAGTTATCTCCCACTCAGCCACATAGCTGCGCAGATATATGACCTGTGGACTGGAATCAAATGGGGAGAGCAAGTTTACTTTGCTGAGCCAGATGCTCTGAAGGTATCTGTCTTGTATTGCACCGAATTAAGCTTGCACTTCCTCCTCTTAGAAAACACCCTAAGGAGAGAGTATGATCTTTGAAGAGGTGCAGAAGGTGAAGATTCAGAGTCCATTATTGTAAGAATTATGGAAAAATAAAATCCATTAGACTTGTGATCCAGTGCTCTAGACTCCAGTTAAAATGTATAATCCAGATCTATAAGCTTCTATTAAGGCAGAAGTATATGCATCTAAAGCAAAAGAAGTATAAGCAATTTTTGGAGGAAAGGGAGGCAGAAAGAACTAAACCTTCTTGTTTATAAGAAGGTTTGTTGGTGTGTGTTTTCCTTCTTGTATACTATATATATATCTCTATAGATATATATATATCTCCCCCGATGTGTCAGAGCTGGCACACCTTAGTGCATATGTCTGGGTGAAGTAGGGTCAGCAGTCCTTTATATCCTACATGTTTAGTGATGTTCTGCATGTTAGCATTGCAAGATGTAGACTGCATCACCAAACCTCTTTATCACTGCTGTGGACCTCCTGCAATGTTTTGAAATAATCTAACGATTTTAACAGGGCAGCTTGATCAACACACTAAGAGAAGTGCAGCCAACATCTCACATGGGAGTTCCCCGAGTATGGGAGAAAATCATGGAGAAATTAAAGGATGCTTTTGCTCAGTCAGGTTTTATGAAGAAGAAAATCCTGTCGTGGGCAATGTCACTTAGCTTAGAGAGAAACCTGAACTGTTCAAGCAGGTATGTATTATAATGAGTGAGATTTCTGTGAACCTGAAAGTAGCTATCTGCTTGTAATAAACTATGAAGCATCAGTGAGACTCTAAGTATAAATGGGTAAAATTTGGCCTGGCAACACAGCAAATATAATGCAAGAGGGAGGGTGTAGTTATCAATTACAGTAGGCTGATCTTAAACACAGGTGACTGTTAAAAGTGTCCCTCCATCCTCCCTGATAACATACTCCCACGAACATGTCCCCCAACTCTGTCTCTTCTGTGAACTGAACAGGTTAGTTTTCAGCTGGGAGAGTTCCCTGATGCAGTGCACCATGTGACTGTGCAAGTGCTAGTTACTGGTGTGAGGAAAGGGCGTGAATCTGGACAATGTGTATGAGGGGTGGAATTTTTGGGGGACAGCCCAGACAGACTGGCTCATGACAGTTTGGGGTATGCACCACGTGAGTAAGAACATCTCATCTCCACACAGAAACTCAGGGATACCCCTCACAAATTCTCTGAGCTCCAAGTACATTATCTCTGTTCTGAATAACATTGGTGTTTTTCTCTGTAAGATTGCCCAGATAAAGAATGTTGTATAAATTCAAATATTGACTTAATTCACAATTCTTTCCTGTTCCAAAGTTCTTTAAAGTGTGACACAACAAAGTGTGAAATTGCTTACAGAAAATGGTATTCCAAAAGATTGTGCATTGATACTGCTTTGCTTGTCTGATCATTCGGCTTCTCAGATAGTCCTGCAAATTTCTGATTTTAGTGGTACAGGTTCTCAGAGACGCATTTAACTGATAGAGTCAGGAATACAAGAGCTTTGTTTTATACACTATGTTTTTATAGATTCTTTATGTATTTTCAGTTTTCAGACACCTCAAGAGTTGGAGTTCACTAGAAATGAAAGACACTGAATAAATGAAAAAATGACAAATATGTAACCTGTTCTTACTGATGTAACTTCCATCAATACCCAAAACCAAATGGCAAATATATCTCTAAACAAAACTTGTGTTTGATTTTGTTTTGGAAATTTCACAGGTTGCTCTGACTTACTGTCGTCTTCTTGTGTGTTTTATACTCAGCAGTGATTTAAAGCAGTTCTGGACAAGGTTAGCAGACTACTTAGTGCTTGCAAAAATACGCAATGCACTGGGTTTTTCTTCCTGTCAGAAGCACTTTTCTGGTGCTGCTCCTCTCAATACAGAAACACTGTATTTCTTCTTGGGTCTGAACATCACCCTGTATGAGGCCTATGGAATGAGCGAGACCACAGGCCCACATTGCCTATCTGGGCCCTATATTTACAGGCAGCACAGGTAACTTTACTTTTTTTTTTTTTTTTTTTTTTTTAAATGTGGTGTTTCCTTATATCTGTGAGAAAAGTATTTATGAAGTTCAGCAAAGATCTTCTCGCTTATTTTATTTTCTCTCAATGCGTTGCCATTCTATTGTGACTTTGGGAAGCAAAATAACTTCCAGGTCAGAAGCTGAATACATTGCCTCCATAGCATGCCATGCAAAGAGCACTGAAAGTGATCTACAGCATTATATGCACAACACAGTTACTAAATCTGATGTATATCCTATCCCTGGCCCATGGTAGCATAGCTTTCAAATGGAAGACCTCAAATACAAAAGTGGTTTTATGCCTGAAAACACAGAGGGAAAAACCCCAGGAAGCACAGGGCAAGATAGACAGCCAAAAAGTGCTTAAATACCCTAACATACCTGTCTAGTGAATTAATATGCCACAGCTTTCAAAAAGTTACAGCAGGGTGTTATTTACAGTCACTGATATTTTGATAAGTTCAGGGATTTCACATGTTGGATGTCTTTATCAGTATTATGTTTAACATTGCTGTGCTCCTTGTGGTTTTTTTCTGCTCTTCTCTGATAGCTGTGGTAAACCAGTACCTGGCTGCAGAGTGAAATTGATGGACAAAGATACAGAAGGCAATGGAGAAATCTGTTTCTGGGGAAGGACTGTTTTCATGGGTTATTTAAATATGGAAGACAAAACAAAAGAAGCCTTTGATGAGGATGGGTGGCTGCATTCTGGAGATTTAGGAAAACTAGACAAGGATGGCTTTCTCTATGTCACTGGAAGAATTAAAGGTAATAAATAAAATCTTGCTCTGTGTTTGTGGTAACAAAAAAATGTCAGATGTGGCCCATCTAATTAAGTGTCTTTCCTCTAATACCAGCAGCATTGACCTAATAGGAAGGTAGAATAAACTTTCCTATGGGGAAACTATGGTGTGCCCTGTTCAGGAAGGGTTTCCCTCTAGTTTGTAATAGGTGGACATGATTCAGTTCCTACAGTGAGGCTTTTTATCTCCCAGACCTTTATTCACTATTAATTACTATTAGTAATATAAAATAATAATGCAGGTTTAATGTGTCATCTTCATATAATCATACAATTGTTTAGGTTGCAAAAGACCTTTAAGATCATCAAGTCCAACCGTTTAACCTAACACTACCAAGTCCACCACTAAACTATATCCCTAAGTGCCACATCTGCACGTCTTTTAAATACCTCCAGGGATGGGGACTCTACTGCTTCCCTGGGCAGCCTGTTCCAGTGCTTGATAATCCTTCCCGTGAAGAAATTCTTCCTAATATCCAATCTTTGAGTCTAATGATCATTAAGCTGTCAGGTCTCCCTTTGAATCTTGCTAAATTGTCTTAATTGCACATCAGAATGTTTAGACAGTGATGAGAGACAACCCTCTGTTATATAAAAGTTGTTGCTGTAGGTCAGAGCTAGGTTCCTCTGCCTTAGATGATGTGTTTGCAGAGACTAGTATCGAAGCTTGAGAGCAGAAGGAAAAGTTAAAGCTAAAGCAATAAACCTAAGTGGTATTACAGTACATAGCTTGAAGTCTCATGTGAGTAAGACTGGTCACTTCCTTACTTGGAAGCTTTTTTTCATTATACATATTCAGAGAGTGTGATTGGTCACAGTCAAGATGTAACTGAAGAAGATTTAAGAATTGAGTAACTATCACCTTAGAATATATGGTGAATCACTAGGGAGGTAACGCGGATGGGTGAATTTGTCATAGGGTGACATAGTGTCCTGTTAGGAATCAGGACTTAAGCAGATACTATTAATAGCCTGCAGCAAATGCAGCTATCTTGATTTTAACTTGCTTTCTTGTCTGCTGTGCAAAAGGAAGATGAATCAGTTAGCAACTCCTAGTCTCATTCTGTCATAACATTTGTGCTTCACTTACATCTTCCTTGATTGCTGAACTAATAACAATTACTCTAAATTACAGGACAGGTACACCATCTGGGATAAAATAACTGTCTGTCCAGTTTCCTTAAAGTTTTAAATCCAAGTCCAAATAAGGTAAAATGTAATAGAAGGTAGTAGAGAAGCTTTTCTTCTAGTGACTGAAACAGGACTTCTCCCTTTGGTTCTGTGGGTCTAATGAGTTTTAGGATTCCTTAGCTGCAAAGCCCAAAGATGTAGCTAGAGAAGTCCACACAGGGGCAGTATTTGTAGAGGTATGGAAAAAGTTGTTACAATTACTACAGTTGTCTGATCAGCTGGGAAAAAGCTGACATCTCAGACAATGAAAAACTAAGTGCCAGAGAGATTGGTAGAGGATCTAAGGCAAAAACAGGACTACGGCAAAAGGAGGGGAGAATGAAAGGAAAAAATAGACCTAGACAAGTTTGGATACACAACTAACTTTGGTGTGTATCTGTGATTTGACAGAAGTCTCTCCTTTTATAAACAGTACTTGTGCTTTCTCAAACGTGTGCAGTGTGTTGACTAGGGAGAGAAATAACTTTTATAGTTATGAGATCAATGTCTCTTCCGTACCAGAAGGTTGAGTATAGACTGGAAGTTATTTTTCATCGTAGTTTTCATGGAGCGTAGAGATGGTAGGGCCCAAACCTGTGAATGTTGAAAGGGTGCAGTATTTCCTTGATTGCATCTAAATTCTTCAAGTTTATCGCTGACAGGGAATCAGGTACCAAACCTGATCCTTAATACATGCAATCAGCTGCATTATTACACAAAGGACTGGTATACCATTTGTCTGCATTATTTGTTGAAGCATGTTCTGAAATGCTGCAAAGACTATTACCTGAGGATAGTGAGAAGTCACCAGTGTAATGAAAGCAGAGAGTTTGAATTTACTTAGCTCATACTCAAATTTGTAATAATTCCAGTGAATATATGTATTATACTTCAGAATGAATGCATTCAAATAAAAATGCACATTCCTTTATCAATAGAGTAAGGTATCACTACCATTGTTTGCAAACCTTAAAAATATTAAGATTCCAGGTAGTCATTATATTCCTCTCATGTCAAAAGTAGGGCAGGAATCACTACTTCCACTGCAGACTCTCTTAAGGTCTTGACTTCTCCTTCCTTG